TGACTACGAGCAAGCTTGAAGCCGCTTGTAGATAGATGATCAGAGGAGTGACACCGAAGCTCGGAGGAGCAGTGGACGTCGTTCTTCATTGGCAAGGTAATAGATCTATCATTTTCTATTCTTTCGATTTTTCCCTCAGTTTTTTCCTAAGTTCTCTGTCTATCGTTTTCTCTTTTGAGCATGTGTTCTTCTTTTAGCCCGTAGATAGATCTATCCTTTTCCATTGTTTTCACCCTTTACTCTTCACCATATATTTCTTCTTTGATTTTGAGCTTGAAAAGATACTCATTGATTGCATCTATCACACTGTCATCTTGCATTTCCTGATCCTTGTTAGAGATGGACTGAGAAGCATATCCGTTTTGGCTATAGTTGATTTTACTTGTTATATTGCAGATTATTTAGTTGATTTCTGTTGAAAAACAAAAAGGTGGGTCAGTCAGTGGCTCATCAAATTTGCAATCGGTGGCACACTATATGCAAATCATCGTTTATGGTTTGCTTAGCCATGAAGAAAATTTTCATAAATATCCATTATACCCCTTGGCTCAAGTATAAATAGGGGTCCCTCCTATGTTATCTCTCATTCTATTCTTTATTTCATTTTAATGTATAATATATACAGTGTGTTGAGAGGAGTATTGAGTTGGGTGTATTGAGTGTCAGGTACGGGTGTGATTCTGGTGAGGTCATTTTGTATTTTTTCTTGTTTATAGTAAAAAGAAAGCTCTGAAATACTACCCGTGGACGTAGACAATTTAGCTGAACCACGTAAATCTGGTGCTCTCTTTTTTTTTATCTTTATTGCTATCTGCTTTTGTCTATTTCTGTGCACGTATAGATTACGTTATTTCCGCTGTATAATTCCAACAATTTTAGTTGCTGTTGATTTCACTTATAATAAAAGCAATTCGGCTAATTTGAGTGTTTACTTTAACCATATACAATAGAATTTCAAAGACAAAGTCTTCAGATTTGTATGATTTCAGTTAGGTTGGGCTTTCAACGCATAAAAGGGTAAAATGACGGATGCCCATGCATGTGAATAACTGTTGAAACTTGAAACACTTAAAAATTCTAAATACTATGAATAGATTAAAAAAATGAAGTTGGAAAATAGAAATATTCTAGCATTCGATATAGTGGTGATATTGAATGGTCAACTCATCAAAATTTAATAGAAATATTCTATCATTCAATAGAAATCTATACTATGAATAGATTAAAAAAATTGGTAGCATGGGTGATGGGTTGAATGGTCAAGTCATCGAAATCAAAAATCCAATATAGAGGTGATATCCTGATCTGATCTACCACAATCTTTAGGTTGTGTTTGTTTTGACAGAAAATTAAAGGAAAACAAAAAGTTGAAGGAAAGTTTGTAAGTAATTTCAAATATTTTCATATCCTTAAATAGAAGTTGATCAGATTCAAATGCATGAGAGAATTTTTGTTAATCCTAGTTAAAGGTGAAAATAAGAAGATGTCAATAGAAAATCATGGTCAGAAACTCAGAAAGGCAATAGATTCCCAAAAGAAAACTAGTAGAAGCAAGGCTGCCTCTGTCGAACCAGTCTCTCGGACAATAGGCTTCAGGGAAGATGTGTAATGGACACCTTGCCTCTGTCTCTGTCATCTGAGAGAACAATCTATTGATGAAACAGCCTGTCCATGAACTACAATCCCCACATCACTGCAGTGTAACAGAATGCATTCCAATTAATGTGACTTCATCTGTTTCTACACCTACATCTTGCATTTCTTCGAAACATCTTAGTGCTTCCTTTTGGCCTTCAATTTTGGGCATAACTTGTGACAGTTGCCGCCCATGCCATCATGTCTTTCTCAGGCAAATCATCAAACAACTCTGCAACTTGTAGATATATACATTTTGTTGCATCAAATATTCAGCAACTACATTTTAGATATATACATTTGTTGCATCAATAAAGATCTGACTCAAACCTACCAAGCAAAATAGTTTGGCAATGTATTTGCCACCCAGGATTGACATCGAGGGCTGCAACACAAGCCTTAAAGAGGGCTGGGAAAGTGAAAAATATAGGGCCTGTACCTCCCCTTCTCATGCACTTGTAGAGCAAATATTGACTCAATGAAGGGACTGTAGAGCAAAACCATCTAATGAAATGGATTCAGGTGCTGGACCTGATCAAAAAGGATATGGGGGATAAGGGTCCATGGATAAAAGCATCCAGATGAGCTTGGCCAAGTGAGAATTGAGTATTCATATGTAATAGTTTTTTATAAAACTTTGTTAATTTATAATATATTTTCTTATTTTCCTTTAGCAAGAAAAAGAAATTCCAACTAACCCAATTAACGAAATATTAATGAAATAACAAAATAGAAGAGGGAGAGAGAAAGAGTGAATCATATATCCACCGTTGAATGTGGATTATATCATATTTTCATCGTTGGATCTAAAAATCGGTCTTAAAATACAAGCACATGTAATTTGGACCGTTGGATTGACTAATGGATTCTATACACCAAAGTGAAAGTCTCACATTGAAACATTCTTGAAACGCCCCACCGAACAGCATGAAATGAAAAAACGTTTATTGTGCTGAGTTGTAAAGGGCGTTTCTTGAAACGCCTTAACCAAACAACAAAATAAAAAACATTTAAAGTGGGTGTTTATTAGATAAATGTTTTTTCAATAAACACCCACCCAATAAACATAAATGGAACCAAACACATACATAGTAGGCTTTTACATAAAGGGGGTGATCTTTTTTCAAATTTTGAGGGGGGGGGGGGAGGAGGAAGTTGGGCAATGGGATTTTGGTTTCCATTGACCAGGAATCCATGTTCTTTTTTTAGATTTATGTGGAGACCAGGGAAAGTTTATTTTCCTAGTAAGTGATATCTATCTTTTAGGTGGATAAATAACTTTCCCACCTACGGGGAAAGTTGCCAACACTTGAATGGGACACAAATGCCCTTTTAATAATGGATTTTAATGGCTAAAATGGTCATTCCTTATTTACACGAGAAATAAAAGAACATGGGTCAATGCGCTTACCCGGGTAAGTGTTTCTCAAGAAAAACTTACCCAAGTAACTGCATTTACTCTGGTAAATAACTTACCGAAAAGCGAACGGGGCCTAAGGTTTTGACAACCTACTGCCAATTTGGTTGAAGGCTTGTCTTTTCGTGCAAAGATAAGACAAAATAAATTGAAAAGCTCCACTTGGAGCTTCCCAAAAATAGTTTAAAACAAGCTTTGACATCTTTTTTGGGATTGAATCTTTCAACAGTTAGACCTTTCTCCAATCAAACGGAAAAAGACGAAAATGCCAAACTTCTAAAAAGTTGACAACTTATGCAAAATCACATGCCGAATGAGGCCTTATTTATTTGGATGAGTGTATTTAATAAATGGTATCTAGAAAATTTTACCACGTGTTATTTTGCCAAAAAATATTAATTGGTTATGTTAGCAAATTATTTAGAGGAAAAATTCTTAATTAGTACCTGTATTTTGGGCCTAGTGCAAACTGGTTCCTAAATTTTAAAGGGTAATAATTCAATACCAAAATTTTCAACAGATACATACCATGCAGAATTCTGAATTCCAACCCCCCTATAAACCACATCCTGCCCCTGAATTTGACATCAATTCAGGTTAGGATGCATTCCCCTGTACTTTGGAACTATAAAATTCTGATATGGGCTGATTGGTCATTCTCTCCGCCGTTAAATGGCATTGAAAAAGACACAAATAACCTCCAATGCCATCTAATTTTCTCGATCAACCCTCCAAATGCTCAACAGGCCAAGCTCTCTGTCATGTCACAAACCCTCGTGGGATTCAAAATCCTAAATGTTTGTAGCTCATTCAAGAAGAAATCGAGGCATCTTGGTGATATTTGTTGTAATCATCTCTACTTGTATTTGAGTCGAGCCAAAATCAATACATCCTTCAACAATATCCATTATTGCTTAACATTTCGGTTTCTCCGATGTATTGTTTTCTCTATTGCTGTTTCAGTTCGTTTTAACGTCCTGAGCTTGTCTTCGTACGGATCTTGTGGTTGAAGTTTCTGGGGAAAATGAGCACTACCATACAAAGAAATTCCGGATCAGGAAGGCAATCACTCTTCCTTCATGATTTAGTATCCACGATTTCTTCTCACAGAGGAAAATTCAGAGTCCAGGTCAGGTAGCTGCCGTTTCTGCTCTATGGTGAGAGAATTTGGGGTCACGGATCCTCCACCACCGCCCATATTCACCTTGGAAGACCGTGCAGATTTCTCTCCAATATCTGGGGTCACGGATTACTCTATTTCTCCAGAAACCAAGTCAGAAATGAGAACTCTTCGAGATTCCCATCGTGACTCTAATTCTCCATTGAGAAGCAAGTCAGAGGCGAGCACTTCGTTTGCCCTTGTTGGAGGGCAGCAAGTACAACAGACACCTACAAGTTCAAGCTGGTTGTCTCCAACGAAGAGCGGCAGTGAGCATGACAAGAAGGGGAAAGGCTCTCCTGTTGAGGCATGGTACAATTGGCGCTTTAATTACGCTTCCTCCACCAAGGGAAGTTGCAAGGTAGGAGTTGCAGGAGAGTAACTTACCTGCAACTAACCTCAATGAGGAGGAATGGGTTACTGTAACTGGTTTAATCTTTATCTATAACTACAAAATCCTTCTAGATGCATTTCTACATGTATCAGTTCCACTGCCTTATCCCTTTTCTCTTTTGTAAAGTGAGCATCGACTGCTCCAAACAACTCTTATCGTTGCCATTATGAATATGAAATGATTGAAGTAATATGTGCTACATTGATATTCATACAAAACGACCATAACAGACTTTGAGAGATGCATACAATGCTGCAAGGCGCAAGGAGCAAGGCGCCGAATAATAATTTGGGTGATACACATCACTAAGAACGTATATACTTTCGGGTTTTACCCTCAAAGAAAAAAGTACATACAACCACACGTAACCCCACCCCCCCCACCCCATCCAAAAATAAATAAAACAGCACAAATAAAAGCTTTATTTTTCTCATGTACATCATCGGATTCATCCACCACCATCCATGGCTCAAGTTATCTTCCCCTTCAAATCAACTCGCATGTCCCAATCCAAGATCATCGAGTCAGCAAAAAATGAATAATTCCCAAAAATAATCATAGATGTCCACTACACGATGAATAAACATGAAGTAAATGGATAAAATACAAAGAAAAGGAAGATGAAATACAATACAATGGAGGTAAATTGTAATTCAAGGAAAAGAAAACAGAAATTAGACAATAAAGCACTGCAATTGCAACTCAGCCCTCTCTAACACAGAAAGGTCTACGGCCGATACAACAAGCTCTGATGTCGATGGAAACAGATCTACATCAAGAGAACAGCGGCTAAGGTACCAACTAATGCAGATCCGGCCACGGTGACTCTGTTCAATGAACCCATAGCAGAGTTGTTGTCTGCTGGGCTCCCCGACGAACCACTAGATGGAGAGGGAGACGATGAAGGCGATGATGGAATTGAACCGGACGGAGATGGAGATGAAACTGGGGTTTCCGTCACTGGAGAAGGGGCGGAAGCCGGAGTCGACACGGGAGAAGGAGACGGTGAAGAAGGCGAGGGAGAAGGAGTAGGAGTGGCAGTCGGTGGAGACACTGGAGCTGGTGTTGGTGACGGAGGACTAACGGTTGGTGTAGAGGATGGAGGAGACGAAACCGGGGCAGGCGAAGATGCAGGTGGAGATGCGGTTGGGGCAGCTGTAGGCGAGGCACTCGGTGCCTGTGCCTGTGCGATGGAAGACCCCGTCAACAAACCCAGAACCATTATAACCATTAACCCATTGAGACCCATCTTCGTCCTGTTTCTTCAAAATATCAGGAAAGAGAGTAGAAAGAGAAGAGAAGATAGGAAAGACAGGGACCAGCTGGGAGTGTCTGAGTTCTGAAGAATTGGAAGTGGTGATTGGTGAAGCGGAGAACGAGTCTAGGACAAGTATAAAAAGCAGAGGAAAGTGGGTTAGGAGTGGGAAAGACAGCGAAGAACCAATCAATCAATGCACTGCACATTTGCACTCAACCAACCTTAGATTCCTGAAACTTATTAATCAATTGTTAATTTATTTCTATACAAATAAACAACCACCAAAGGGCCAAGGTCCCAACCCAAACAGACTGTCAACAGCCAGCAAGAGACGTTGTTCCTTCAGTACTCTCCGCTTCTCTTATCTGTATACAACCATAGACAGACAATAGACTTTAGAGAGCAAGGCTTCATTTTATATTTTAAGTTCAGCTAAGACTGTATAAATTAATGATTGAATTTTCTTTTGGTATTATTATATTAATTAGTTAAATAAGAAATTTCCAACCTTGCAGAATTCGCAGTCACAATCTGTTCTGCGCATTAGTTAGAGCTAGCTTCTACCAGCTCGATCGGTCTGGACCGTCCGTCGGTGAGTCAAGAGTTAACGTTGTATTCCATAAACAGCCATGAATGAATAATGATACAAATTACAACGACTAACTCTGTCCTTCTCAATTGTGATGATTTCCTTTCGTTAAAAAAATGTCAACTCTCTGATGTTTGAACGTTTATAGGCGATTGCAATTTACAAATAATCAGTCTTCTTTTTCACCGTCACTAAACATTGAGTCCTCATCCCATTCGTCAATGCCTAAACAGATATGCATGTGGCCGTTATACATGCCAGATATGGGGGACTTCATGGTAGTTTTACTTATAATGAGGTCTCCCTCATTGTAAAACTGCTCTTATACTACATGCCATGACCGTTCAGGTACAGCTCGGAGTTAAAAAAAAATACACATAATCAAATTGGGCAGCAATGAGTACGTACTTACGAGTTAGCTACATCCATCCATGTAGCTATCGAAATTTGCATATGGTCAAGGTTCTTATTTGTTTTCTTTCTGCGCTCTTTTATTAATTTAAATTCGTGCTGGAAAGCATTTACTTTCTGGGTTTTCTTCCCAAAATTAATAATTTTCTTTTGGTCGAAAAATTTGCTAATAATTAATGGATATTATATGCTTCTTCAGTATTTTAGGTTATTGATTCTTATCAACTTTAATAAATTAATACTGCCATTGCCGGCACCCTACCTACTTAATTAATTATTATTATGAAAAATCACAAAACTAATCAAAAGACTGTGTCCCCTGGAAAACACAAACATTTGAATAATTATTCATTTCAGGGATTACTGATTGACAGCCATTCTTAATTGTTAATTGTTTTATGAAATAACATTGTAGTAGCAAACGGGAACATGGGATTGGGGGATTGTGTTTGGCTCTCAAAAAACTAAGGCTGAACTATGATCAATGTAGCTGAAGCTCATGCAGCCAATGAAGGTATTGTATCTAAGGGCTGTTTGATAAGGGCTGAATTATTAGTTATTGAACTGAATGACTTATTGCTAGAAAAAGTGGTAAATTTTTCGGTTCAACCACTTCAGCTGTTATCAAATGGCTCTTAATTCTAAAAATGAGTTATTTTTGTAAGAGATTCCAAATTCATCAATTAAGAAATACAAAGTAACACAAGAAAACTAACAAAGACCAATCAAGAGGGATGAGAGCCTCGCTCTAGAAAGTCTGAAGGCATCCTAACGTCTTCAGCTAAAAGATCAACAAGCTCCTGCTGGGAGTCCATAACCAAACAATCTCACCCTTGTTTACTCCTTTTTTAGTTAACTCATGAACCACCAGGAAAGTACAATTACTACAAATTTACAGGATATCATTCAAAATAGGCCAAACTTCATATCAAGGTTAGGGCATACATTGATGAGATATAATTGAAACAGCTAGCGGCCAACTAACCAATTAATCAATATTGGCCATCCAAATAATTAATGTACTATGATTTTAAATGTATACAAAGATTTCTTTTCTTTAGTGACTTGATTTTACCCTTTAAGATGGCTTTATTACCGTTCTCCCCAAATTTGCCATAAAACCAATCTTACTAATCCATTTTTTTAGAGTCACTTTTCATCATATTTTCTAAGGCTACGCTTGAAAATGATGCAAATAAGTGTGAAGGCAAATATGTAGAGTATAAAATGGTTTATATAAATTGTAAAGTTGGGTTAGTTTTGCACTGACAAATTTATTTTTTTATCAAACAGACTTTTAGCTGTAACGGATGCAAACATGAATTTCAATAAAGTATATGTTTTATTTTTTTATCAAAAGCCCACTTGAATGCAAATTTTCTTTTTTTATTGATGTACTTTTACATCTTATTATCAATGTAAATATGTATTGATCCGTCATTTGTCAATGCATAAATGTAATGTTGCCAAATACAGGCAAAAGTGAACCAGAGTTCAAATTTACCCTGAACCGGGATTTACACTCCATTTGCATCGTTTCCAAATGCAGCCTAAGGTTGTGTTTGGTTGTAGTGCAAATATGATTTAGATACAAATATTGCACCTGGTTTGCACTCTTACAAATATTTGCGTATGTTTGTTTCTTACTTGATTTGCACTCTTACAATATACAAATTTTGTACTACATTTTATCTCAGTTGCACTCATTAGTAGTGTAAATTTTACATCTCAAAAATTGATGTACATTTTGCACCAGCTTCCTCCTACTAGGACTACAATCATATTGAGATCTAATTGAGTTCAATTAGGCTTGATTCTAGTTTGATTCTACTTGAGTTTGAATCTCAAGGTAAACTCGATTTTCTGAGTTTTTAAGCCAAACTCGAGCTCATTCAAACAAAGTGGTCAAGAAAATTTTTCCTTTTTTTTGAACTTTTTGTTTTTTTATTCCATGTCATTTTTTAAAATACCAATGAGATTCACTTTCCCAATAACCTAAATAATCTCTTCTCCTAAAATTTATCCTAAACTACCTCCCCCACTTTCTCCAGAATTATCTTTAATTCCTATTTATCTTCTAAATTATCTCTAATTCCTATTTATCTCCACAATTATCTCTAATTTAGTAGAGAGTTTCTCTCATAAATTATCTTTAATTCCTATTTATCCTCTGAGTTCAGATCTCCTGCCCACAAGAACCTTGCCCATGTCTACCCACAACACACTACCCCCCGTGAATTGGGAACTTCTCCCCCTACATAATACTATGTAGAGGATGAGATGTTCTCCATGTGTGGCTGCAATAAACGTGGGTAGGGTTCTCGTGGGCAAGAGATTCGGACTCTTATCCTCTCCCCTACTTTTTATTTATATCTATCTAAAGAAAGTTTGGATAAAAAAATTTAATAATTATTTAAATATTCTAACAAAATTATATAATAAATTTAAAATATTTATTAAAAATACAAAAAAATAATTTTATATTTTTACAAAATATATCACAGAATTATGTACTAACAATTTAAATTATATTTTTCTAGATTATCAATTTAAATACTTTTAAAATATTTAATAATATGTAATAACTTTAAATAAATAAAATTCAAATAATAAAAATTTTAAATATTTTATATATTATTTAAATATTTAAATAACTAGATTTTAAATTGTTAAAATACCGAAATTATGTAATAAATTAAAAAAATCATTAAAGTAGAAAAATAATTACAACATAATATTGAAATTAATAATAATTTAATATATTACAAAATTAATAATGAAAATATGTAATAATAGTATAAACTATGATTTTATGGATAATTAAATTCCATAAATAACTAATATTTTAAAATTTAAATATTTGACATATTTCTTAAGTATTTAAATAACTAAATATTTTAAATAAAAAATATTTAACATAACTATATTTTAAATAGTTAACATAAAGAAATTATGTAATAAATTTAAAAAAAAATTCTGAAAAGTAGAAAAATAATTATAACATAATACTAAAATTAATAATAATTTAATATTTTTACATAATACTGTAAATAACTAATTTCTCTTAATCTGTATTTATTATATAATTATATATACTAAAATTAATATTTATTGTATTTCAGTTGTTATTTATTGTTTTTGTGATAAATGTATTTTCAATGATTATGTATAAATTTATTTTGTTATGTTATTTAATAGAAAAGTTTCAATAATTATTGGAGATTAAACTATTATTAGTGAAATTTTTAAATTTAATTTTTTGTACGTATTGTATTTTTGTTATAACTTATTTATTAATATTTATTAGAGATTAAACTATTATTTGATATTATACTATTTATTGACTAAGTTAATATATTTTTAGTACTTATTGTATTTTTTCATGATCAATATATTTTCAATAATTGTATATTTTTGCTATAAATTTTCAATAATTATTGGAGATTAAACTATATGAGACTATTAGTTTGTGGGGTGCCCATTGAACGTGCGTCTAGTCGTTTTCTAATTTTATCCAGTGCCCCTGCGTCTAATCGATTTCTGCCTTTTTGCAATCGACTATGTTGGATATGCTGATTTTATCCAGTGCCCCTATTAGTTTGTGGGGGTACAGACGCAGGAACAAGTGTTGGATATGCTGATTTCAATGGTATGCTGGGGGTATATTAAGCAAATGAGGGATGCCATTTGCTTTCTTTTTGCAATACCTTTTAGTTTTCTATACAGCTGCTCACTGTATAGTTGCTGATTTATGTCTAGGGGTAATTGCCCTTTTTTTGGTTAATGAAATTATACTTTATTAGGATATACTCTTCCATGCCTTGATTATTTGTGTGAAGCCATTGGTAAATACTACAAGATGGTTTGTTGATCCATGACTGAGCTTCGCATCTCAAAAGTTAATGATTCTGTGTATCAGTGGTGTGAAGTATGTGCTCCATTTGGCAATGATCTCCAATGGGGTGTAAGAAGAGTCTTAAAGAACTGAGTGGCAATCTGTTTTGAATATGTGAGTTTTAGATTGTGATACCTTTTCAATAGGATAAAATAAATGATGGAAGGTTTCAGGATTTTTTGAGCAGAGAGAACAAGTCAAATCTAAGTGATGTAGCCAGTGATAACATTCGTCTT